TGGAAATAAGATGGAAAACGAAACAATGAGAAAAAATGAAAAATTCAATGCCTCGTTATCCTAACGACTATTTTGAGAGATCCCTCCATATCCATTTGTAGAATCGTTGGAGAAAAAGGGGTTAAAATTGCACCCTTGTGTAAAATTAGAAGGATCGTCTTTGGAGGAGTGCCATAATAAAAGACTAAAGCAAATGTACGGCAAAAAGTTTTTTTTTGCATAAAAAAATTATTATGATTTTATTTCAATCATTATATTTCTAGAAGATTACACAAGAGTTTTCAGTTTTAAGAGTCTATTACGCTGTACTGTCTGTGGCCGAAGAAAATATATATTATATTTCAGAAATCCGCCTAATGCTTAGCCCGAAATTCCAAACATACGTGCTTTGATTAAGGCTTGATTAAGGTTTGCAGAGCTTCAGCATTTGCCATAAAATAGCGGGCAATTTGTTACAAAACCATATAAATTATATATCACTGTAATCACAAAGCTTCAATCTACTTCTATATTGTAACGGAATTTCAAATTATGTTTTTATTTTCGAGAAAATTTAGTCCAAACATAAGGAATATTTTGTTGATGTTTGGTTTGACCATGAAAATCCTAAAAATAAGAAAGTTTTCTAAAAATTATGCTACAATACGAATATACAGAGTTGTAGCTAAACGATTAGATTTTTACAAATTGTAAATTTTGGGTTCGTTGAAGCACTATTAGAGCTACAATTTAAACTAAAAATTTTTTTTATTTATTTTTACAAGTTACAGAGTGTCCCAAATAAATAAAAAATATCAAAGTTGTATTTTTTTAAACGGAACACCCTGTATATTATTACATTTTTAGTTTCTACGATTAAAATAAAGGTAAATTTGATTAAGGTTTATTACACTTAAACCTTACCGTTTTTGAAATATTTCCAATTCTGTGAAATTGCAGTATAAATTTTAAAGCTTCATTTCTCCGAGGGTATCAAAGTTTTTAATACTAAATATTTACTGAAGTTTATTTATTGATCAGTTATTGTGTTGCAATAATAAACATTTTACTACCTTATACAGAGTGTCTAAATATTAATTTTAAATAATTATTAGCTTTAAACGGCAATAATTTGTTTAATTTAAATGGAACACCCTGTATATTTTATAAGAATCAGATGAACAATTTAATTATCTATCAAATTGTATTATACCATTATTTACCTATCTCTTCAAGCTTCCGTAGAAAATGCATTTTCTTGTAATTTAGAACTCATTTATCATTTTAGACATTTTAGATTATTTTTAAAGATGTACCAAATTTTTAAAGAGTACAGATACTAATATTGTCAATATAGTTCGTTTATTTCATTAAAAAATAAAAAAAACTGTTTAAATATTTGTTAAAGAGGACCAATTAATATAATTCCAGTATTCAAACTACATTAATTGACTGTTTGCGTTGATTAATAATAATTGCTCCAAATACTAAAAAACTGAATTATTTATGTGTATTAGACAGTGTGGTAAAAAAACTAACACCTTAAAAATGATATTTTATTTTTTAACAAATGCTTATTTATAACAACAGAGACGTTCATTTTCATAACTTATTATTATATTGATTTCTGATTCAAATCCACATTTATTTAGAATAATTTATTAACGAACACAATTAAGTATGTAATTAATTAGTATTTGTGCGGAAATACTGGTGGTATATTTAATTAATGGTATACTCTTTTATAAAAATTTAAATAGTTTTCTTTTTGCATACAAATGGGCTAGTAATATTATCGTTTTACTAAAAACGATAATATTACTAGCCTCTACATTTTATACATTTGTTGTTTTAAAAACAATCTAAAATGTCAATATTCGATGGGTATACTGATAAATGAGGTCTAAATTATAAGAAAATGCATTTTCTACGAAAACTTGGGGGATAGGTAAAAAGTGGTATAATACAATTTGATAGACAATTAAATTGTGCATCTGATTTTCATAAAATATACAGGGTATTCAATTTAAATTAAACAAGTTATTGCCGTTTAAAGCTAGTAATTATTTAAAATAAATTTTTAGACACTCTGTATAAGGTAGTATAATTTTTATTATTGCAACACAATAACTGATCGATAAATAAACTTCAGTAAATATTTAGTATTAAAAACTTTGATACCCTCGGAGAAATGAAGCCTTAAAATTTATATTGCAATTTTACAAAATTGAAAATATTTCAAAAACGGTAAGGTTTAAGTGTAATAAACCTTAATCAAATTTCCCTTTATTTTAATCGTAGAAACTAAAAATACAATAATATACAGGATGTTCCATTTAAAAAAATACAACTTTGATATTTTTTATTTATTTGGGACACTCTGTATCTTGTAAAAATATTTTTAATTGTAGCTCTAATAGTCCTTCAACGAACCCAAAACTTACAATTTGTAAAAGTCTCATCGTTTAGCTACAATACTCCGTGTCGTATGTGGTGAACAACCCTGTATTATAATCCTTTGTTTTTAATTTTTTCTTCATTTGTGTAAAAATATGTATTTAGCCAGTAAACTTTAAATGCCGAATGCTTGTTTTAACTCTTTTAGAAAAAAACCCTTATTCGAAACATGTTGAATAATATTTTCGGAAATAAGAGTAAAACAAACCTACTATCGAACATGTCGCTTAATTAATGGAACGATGTAACCAACATATTATTTACGTACTTTATCTTACTCTAGGCATCACTTTGTTGTTATTCCATCTAATTACCATTTGTCTAATTAGTTTGTTTTGTGTTCCCGTCATAAACAGCATTTCCTACCCATTTTTATATACATACATTTTAAATTACCTGAGGCGCAGTTAATTTTTTTAACACTAGAGCATTATAATTTCCTGGATGAAGCTATAAAGCCTTCCAACTCTGATACCAATATAAAAAAGTATATGCGTTATTCATTTTTGTAGTCAAAAATTATCAATGAATATTGTTAGTCTATTTTTTATACACCACATGTCTTTAACACTATCTATATAATATATTCCAGTATAAATATATATTCGAAAGAAATCGGTACATGTATATTATTTCGTATATTTTTCATTTTATTGATTTTATGTTCATTAAAATGTTGTATCCTATGTTATAGGGCTTGTTTCTCTCTACAATTTCCTGTCGCACAATGTACCGTTTGTGTCGGGGAAGGGATCATAGTTTCATAGTTGTCGATTTTCGAAAGAAATCAATACATGTATATTTCGTATATTTTTCATTTAATTGATTTTATGGAAAGCACTGTTTATTAAAATGTTGTATCCTTTGTTATAGGGCTTGTTTCTCTCTATAATTTCCTTTCTCACAATGTACCGTTTGTATCGGGGAAGGGACCATAGTTTCATAGTTGTCGATTTTCGAAAGAAATCAGTTACATGTATATTATTTCGTATATTTTTCATTTTATTCATTTTATGGAAAGCACTGTTCATTAAAATGTTGTATCCTATGTTATAGGGCTTGTTTCTCTCTACAATTTCCTGTCTCACAATGTACCGTTTGTGTCGGGGAAGGGATCATAGTTTCATAGTTGTCGATTTTCGAAAGAAATCAATACGTGTATATTATTTCGTATATTTTTCATTTTATTGATTTTATGGAAAGCACAGTTCATTAAAATGTTGTATCCTATGTTATAGGACTTGTTTCTCTCTATAATTTCCTGTCTCACAATGTACTGTTTGTATCGGGGAAGGGATCATAGTTTCATAGTTGTCGATTTTCGAAAGAAATCAATACATGTATATTATTTCGTATATTTTTCATTTTATTGATTTTATGGAAAGCACTGTTCATTAAAATGTTGTATCCTATGTTATAGGACTTGTTTCTCTCTATAATTTCCTGTCTCACAATGTACCGTTTGTGTCCGGGAATGTTGTTTATCATAGTTGTCGATTTTCAAAAGAAATCAGTACATGTATATTATTTCGTATATTTTTCATTTTATTGATTTTATGGAAAACACTGTTCATTAAAATGTTGTATCCTATGTTATAGGGCTTGTTTCTCTCTACAATTTCCTGGCTCACAATGTACCGTTTGTGTCCGGGAAGGGTTCATAGTTTCATAGTTTTCGATTTTCGAAAGAAATCAGTACATGTATATTATTTCGTATATTTTTCATTTTATTGATTTTATGGAAAGCACTGTTCATTAAAATGTTGTATCCTATGTTATAGGGCTTGTTTCTCTCTACAATTTCCTGTCTCACAATGTACCGTTTGTGTCCGGGAAGGGTTCATAGTTTCATAGTTGTCGATTTTCGAAAGAAATCAGTACATGTATATTATTTCGTATATTTTTCATTTTATTGATTTTATGGAAAGCACTGTTCATTAAAATGTTGTATCCTATGTTATAGGGCTTGTTTCTCTCTACAATTTCCTGTCTCACAATGTACCGTTTGTGTCCGGGAATGTTGTTCATAGTGTCATAGTTGTCGATTTTCGAAAGAAATCAGTACATGTATATTATTTCGTATATTTTTCATTTTATTCATTTTATGGAAAGCACTGTTCATTAAAATGTTGTTTCCTATGTAATAGGGCTTGTTTCTCTCTACAATTTCCTGACTCACAATGTACCGTTTGTGTCCGGGAATGTTGTTCATAGTGTCATAGTTGTCGATTTACAAAAGAAATCGGTACATGTATATTATTTCGTATATTTTTCATTTTATTCATTTTATGGAAAGCACTGTTCATTAAAATGTTGTTTCCTATGTAATAGGGCTTGTTTCTCTCTACAATTTCCTGCCTCACAATGTACCGTTTGTGTCGGGGAAGGGATCATAGTTTCATAGTTGTCGATTTTCGACACCGATCGATTTTTTATACACCACATGTCTTTGACACTATCTCTATAATATATTCCAGTATAAATATTTTAGAAATCATAGAGATTTAAAATTAAGAACTTACAATTAGTGAATTAACCGACAATTTTCTTTTTTTTTCTTTCAGAGAACTGAGATGTTTGAGAAATATTATCCATATGAATCTGATGTGGTCTTATCTGTTGACGTACACAATGTGGATTATAATGCTAATAGAGGTAAGTAAAAATGAGTACTAAGTCCGATCCATACTTGCTTTCGATTAAAAAATATTAATACCTGACTGTTGTATCTAATGTCAACGTTTATAATATACCTATAGGGTGTCCAAAATTGGGATTCCTGTATTCCAATTCTGGAGGATATTCCAATAGAAGAGATACTAGCTTGGGTAATGGAGGCAAAGTTGCGCAATTTGATGTTGATCAAAATGCCACCTTAAAATTTTAATAATTTCAAATGTTTCCAAAGATTTTTGGGAAAAAAAATGTTCGAGATTTAATTTTTCTTTTCTTGTGATTCTATTTGAATAGATTAAGAGTTTCTAAGGCTAGTTAAGTCGCTGAATTCTACGTGAAAAACTCTACTGTCAGTTTTCACTTCAGTTTTCATTCTTTCGAGAAGTTATAAGATAATCTAGATACAAAGGGGATCGATAAAATTCGCCCTGTATTTCTGTAGCAATTTTAGTTTGATAAAAAAAAGTAGTAGGGTAATGCGAAAACAGCATTTTTGCAGACAAAACAGGACCTCTACTCATAAAGGAGAAACCCTGTAAGTTTCTCCTTTATGAGTAGTTTTTAGTGTTGTTTCCATAACAACACTAAAATGGGACAGTCTGTACAGTGCAAACTTAATCTTAATAAGTTTAGATGAAACGTGGTTATTATAAGTAGCTATAAAAGAAGAAACAACTTTTAAGTTCTGAATAATACAGAGCCGTCTAACAATAAAACTATATGCTTCTAAAATAAATTAAAACTTCTTCGTACTAATAAGTAGCCGTGACCCCAAGAGACACTTAGTTATGAGAAGCCGAAGCATAAAGAGTATAGAGTAACTTTATAGTTTAATAAGTTCAAAGTTTATCCGGGGGATAACTTTTCGAAGGGTCGTTTTTTAACTACCACGCTTTGAAGGTTTTATTGCCGTATAAAGCAAAAGATAATTAAATGAAGAATATTCCTCTTCTCTTATTTTTATTCGTTGGAAATCTAGGCTTTTTATAAGGAGATAAAACTTTTAATCAAATTAAAGGTTTGAATAATAATAAAAATGTATTGATTTACATATTTATGACTCATTTTCTCCATTTTATTAAGCACTTTTTTCAATACAAAGTTGATTGAAATCTGATCATACTAAACAGAAATAATAGGTAGAAGTTTGAACATTTAAATATAAATTGTTTAGCCTTCCTTTCTTCCAGTACAAATAGATAAGTGAAAAAAAAATGTTTAATAACAAAAAGATCAGATACGCTACTGAATTACCCTAAGTCAAATTGACGTATCTAAATTATTTTTGACAAGTTGTAAATGATACTGAAAATGCAAGTAAAGATATATTATAGTTAGTTAATTCTAAGTAAATTTTATAATTGATTGGTTTGCTACACGTAACGTGTACTATACAGGGTCCGGCAATAATGTGTTGGGCTTCTGTAGCTCCTAGAATAAAGAACTTGGGAATTTTGTTTAAGTGCCAACCTATATGATATTTAGGATGTATTTCACGAAAATGTTTTAACTTCAATACGGTGCACAGTGCTTCGAACATATGGCTCTAGAGGACAAAAATCCAAAACTTCTCTTTTATTGTAAGCAATTTATTCAAACTAGGTTTATTTGACACAAATGATGAGTACTCTCATTGTACTAAATGATGATGTTCTTAGTCCCACGTTTATGAAAAAAAATCTTATAAATAATAAAAATATTGGAGCTGTGTTCCATCTAAGCAAATAATAATTTATAGTATGAAAACGGTGTAAGTATTAAATAAATTCCTGTGATAAAAAAGAATTGAAATAACATTAGAACATGATTCCTACAATATAAGCCTAATACGTAAGATAAGATAAAAATGTTTTTGTTTAATGAAAAAGAAACATTAATGTTATATTTAATTAAAAAAAAAACTTAAGATACTATAAATTTACTTTAGGACAACAAAATGCATAGATCGTAACTACTTTGATTCAGAAGAATTACTGCTGACAGAATCTTCCAAATTTATAGTATCCAAATCAGGTAGATGAAGTATCCTCACATATAAGATATTTCTGTACATCATTTTCTAATATGTTACTTTTTCGCGTTGTTACTGTTCATTTTGTCGCTATGAGGGGTTCGGATGTTAATAGTTACCTCTTTAATACAGCATATCCATATATTATTTTTTCCTTTTCTTGGGTATGAGATTATATAATAAATTGAAAGATGGACACTTTTTTTATGCGACGTTTCGCTCCAACATAGTGGACTTTTTCAGGCACCAGTGGTGTCTCATTTGACTGGAAGGTTCATCAATATCTAATAAGAACATATTTTTTGAAATACAAATAATTTTGAGTTCTTGTCTTTATGATCAAGCCAAGTATTAGCCAGATCGGCATTGCTTATCAATTTTACTCCATCTGAAAAGTATTATAAAATAAGTTCGTCGCAAGCAGACGCAGGTGAACTATACAAAAATTAAAAGTGTATGAATATGGCAACAAAAATATTCAATAAATACGATATGTTTTGATATGTTTTTTTAAATGCCTTTTGAAGTTTGAAAACGTAAAATTTTATACCCATTTAAGAATCATCTTAAAAATAAATAAAAAAACTAAACAATCACGAACTTGTTTAGAAATAAATTTAAAGTACATACCTTGTTTAACAATATCCATAGTGGCTTTCAATTAAGTACGTACTCGTTTAACTCCATAATATACAGAACTACTATGAATGTTATTCTTTTCACTGATGAGATAATGATCGCAAAATTTATTTTTAGTGAAAATATTTGCTAACAAAAACGCTGTTTATGAAAAATAATATACAGGATGGTTGAACATTGCTATAAGTATAAAATTATATATTCAGATATTAGTAAAATTTAACTAATTTTTTGATTTTTGTCCATGGGACGAAGCACTGTGCGGTGGCTCAAAAAAGTGTGGGTGGATCGGGATAATTTGTTTTAAATGGAACGCCCTGTATATTATTGCATTTTAGGCTTCCTTTTATATCACTTTGCATATTTTTAAGATATGAATAAATAAGTTTCGGTTAGTTTTAGAGATATTAAAAAATAAATAAGAAATATATATTTTTCAGCCTTATTTCTTAAAAAAAATATTAAAAATACAAGAACTGTCCTGAAATCAAAACTATATTAGGTATTTACTTTAGATAGTCTGTAATTACTTTGCTATAAATATGGTAATTGGAAATCATACAGGATGTTCAAAATTCTACGCCAAACTTTCTAAAATATAAAATAAATTCTCTCCGTTTTTTTTTTAATGGAACACCCTGTATGCGCCGCTTACGTTCTTTCTTTAACTAACGTTTCCTATTATTGGACCTTATAATAAATTGGACAATAAAATAACAAATTTATTTGAAAAACCGACGCAAAATTACGCTACACATGCCCTACCTTTGAGGTCAATTCCGTTCAAATCCGTTTACCAAATTAACTTTTCCTCAAGCAATAACTATTAAATTTCCAGAAAATTACCCATTATCCTTGTCCGCCCTGCTTTCCCCTAGCCACGCCCTAATTTTCGTCTTGGTATTAAGGAAATCTGAGAGAAATAAGTAAACAAAGAAACACCGTTGTATATAATAATCCCTTTAATATTTTTTTCAAATTTACATATCGTTTTAGAGAAAATTGAAAAACAAAATAAAACACTAAATCACCACAATAGACCAAAACACTTTTACTTTTACACTGGACGCGCGTTTCGCTAACGATGTTAGCATCATCAGCAGATTATTATAAACTAGAGTTTAAAAAAAAAATAAAGTAATAAATAAAACTAGAGTTTTGTAGTATATAATCATCTGCTGATGATGCTAACATGGTTAGCGAAACGCGCGTTCAGTGTAAAAGTAAAACTGTTTTGGTGTATTGTGGCGATTTAGTGTTTTATTTTGCTGTGTAACACCAAAGGTTCCAACCCTCAACCGTAATAAAGTTGAAAAAGACAAGAAAATACGGCTGAGTTTTTTCTAGTCCTGAAAATCATAATGCGTTTCTATGGTACTATAATTTCGATTTCATTCTTTGATAGTTGGTTATTAAAAAAGTAGAAAAAAGACTCAAAGTCTCGGTCTCAACGTTTATACAATGTTAAACTGTTACACGTGTTTCGCTCATATACGAGCATCATCAGACCTAACAAGAAACAACCTAAATAAATAACAAATAATAAAAAGGTCGTCATAACTTACAAATACAATTAAAATTAATCCAAATACACGTTCACATTTTACAATTAAAACAACACTGAGACCAGGCTGAAATGACTGGCAAATATTTGTCAATAAAAAACAACAAAAAACAAACAGGAACTATAAATCAAACAAAATCAAAAATAAAATAAAAAATAAAAAATAGAATAACCCAGCAGGATTTGAACTCTAGGCTCCCGGGTGGGAACCAGAGAGCAAAGCCACTAAGCTACCATACTACTGAAGTAAAGATTCAGAACTCAACAATAATACACGGCCGAATTAATCTTACAGATTATTGAAAATTAATGTTGGTTCGAAATTAAAAATGTCATTCACGCACACAAGAACCGGCCTTTTTTAGCTCTAGTTATTTCCATTTTTTCCAATAAATCAAGTTTTTTACTTTTTTGGCATTCGTGCAGAACACTAACGTTTTCAGAGATGGAAAAATCGTGACCTGTGGCTAATAAGTGGTTCGCAAAAGCCGATTTAGTCTCAGTTATATCTGAATTTCTGTATTTATTGACAAGGCTCAGATGTTCCTATACTCGGGTGGAAATCTTACTACCTGATTGCCCCACATAGACCGTTTGACAGTCGCCACAATTCAAAGAATAAACTCCCGATTTAGAGAGCCTCTCCGTTTTGTCTTTATTTCTAACCAAATTTGCTTTTAATGTATTAATAGTATTAAAGGAAATAGATAAATTAAGATTTTTAAAATATGAACGGCAGCTGGTGGATTTCCTTTCTTATGTCAA